CCAAGGCCACGAGGCCTTAACGGTGGGTCTATGTTTTAGTTAAACATGACCAGCTGGATGACGCCAAATCTACTGCTGCACCTTCTCTGATGTTCTGGCTCCGCATTTTTTGCCGTTATGCTTTTCTTGTCACGTGTCAGATGAGAGTCCTCTTGTTTAGCCCTCCCTCTTTTGTTTTTTTTGCCCGCTGCCTTCAAATCCCAGCGAACTGAGGTTGCTCGATATCCTCTCCAACAGAGCATGGTAACTGTACTTCCCCGCCTGTGCTTATTTGGTGATCATGCCTGCTTCTATGATGCCCACCCCCAATTGATGCTAGCCCTTTTCCTAGCCCCCTCTGCCCACAACCCACGCCAGTCTTGCTTTTATTCTAACTGTAACATTATTATCAAACCTGACGGTATGCCACTCACAAGCTGGGAAATGAACATTATTATCATCAACACCTTCCACTTTCCACGCAGCTGGACCTAGCCAAGTTGGCGAACCGTAATTTTGGTGATCCTAATTTTACGTCCATTCATACCATCCTTCCCTTCATTTCAAGCTTCTTCAATTCCATTACCCCTCATGTCTGGAACCATTTTTGTAATACATCTACCGATACAGCTCGCCCAATTGTCCCCAAGGCTTTTCGTTGAGTTTTTCGACCACTTCCATGGACTTTCTCATCTAGGAATCATATCAACAAGGTAGGTGCACAGTGTACGTTTTGTATGGCCCCGCATGAATGAGGATTTAACACGCCGGGCCAAACAGTGCATCACCTGTCAAAGAAGTAAAGTAACTCAGCGCACGAACTCACCTAGCAGTTCATTTGCAGTCCCTGATGCTCGATTCACGCACGTTCATCTTGATATCATTGGTACAGTTTCCCCATCAAACGGTTTCACTCATACTCTTACCATGGTTGATCGTTTTACCCATTGCCAGGTAGCTAAACCCATTTCGGACACCTCAGCTGAAGCGGTAGCCCTTTCAGTTTTCCAGCATTGAGCGAGTAACTTTGGCGTACCTTCCTCCGTCGCTACCGAAAGCAGCTTGCAGCTTCAGTGTAACCTCTTCTTTTAGTTTTTTTTACACTACACGGTTTTCATCCAATTTCGACTACCGCATATCACCCCTATTCCAACGGTCTGGTTGAGGGTTTCCATCGCTATATCAGAGGTGCGTTGACTGACTATCTTTATGGTCCTCTATTCCACCCCTCATTTTGCTTACTATTGGCTCCACTATTAAGGAAGATCCTCGCTATTCGTCAGCCGAACTAATATACGGTACAACTTCACGTTTTATTCGGTGAACTGGTTTCCTCTTCTGGCGCACAGCCCGAATCACCCGCATTTGTCACCCGTCTATCTAAACCTCGAGCGACACCGGCCAGACGATCAACGTGAAAAGAACATATCTCAATCTGTCTCCCTTCTATACGATGTATATCTCTCCGACGTGACGCAACGAGGAAAGCCCTCCAACCCTGATGATCCCTCCAAGGTTGTCGAACGTCATTCTAAATACTTCGTTTCAGAGAGAAGCGGAAAGCATGACACCGTCTCCATTGATCGTCTTAAGCCTGCCTTCACTGAAGCACCCACGACCACATCCAGCTATCCCACCAGCACACGCACCCACTCAAGATACCCCTACCGCCAACCTTATTCCTTTAATAAGTCGTTCTGGATGACACGTCCGTTCCCTCAGCACTTCACCGATTACCAACTCTAGGTGAGCGATTTTTGGTTTATTTCCGTTATTTGAGCTATTACTTCTTCCACGTTCAATGATCTAGTAAGGGGAGTACTGGGGTGTTTTGTATATATATTTGGCTTCCATCATTGTCAATTGCATAGCCGTTTTTTGTTTCAATGCGAAAAACTACAAAAACGCGCACGTGCAAAACATTCACGCAATACAATCGTGGTCACGTGCTTTGACTCTCGATTCTGATTTCGCTTGCGCTTACGGCGGTCATTTCGCGGGCTCAAGTGCTAACTCTGGCGTCAAAATACTTCAGACCATCTCCGAAATCTATTATATGTGGGAATGTTCAGAAGAAGACCCCTGGGCAAGCATGATTGGATTATTGTTTATTCGCTGACCTGGGCTAACGACGAACTATTTTAAAGAGGACAATCTTTAGCGAGTCTGTTCCAGCTGACATCTTTATTATTATATGCTCAATCTAGTGGCATTATTCTCATTTCTTTGCCACACATTCCTGGCAGAGTAACTCATTGCATAGGCAGACCACTGTGCTTTACGGGCAAAACACGCGGAGCCACTAAAAGCCGTTAAAGTGCAAATTCCGCGACCATGGTTGAACTCAAGTAGTTTTAAACAGCTTTAAACGAATTTGCGGCCGCGTGCAAAGATATTAAGAGTTGGAATAAATAAGTTGATGTACTAAAACTCCTTTTAAAGTGTTCCTACCTTCAAAATACCGGGACAAGTCGTAGCTTGCGAGAATCTAATTCCGTTTCGCGAATACCGGACGCCCTAAATACCTGTCAGCTCAACCTTGTTTGTGAAAGCTACTCACTAGAAGCAAACCGAACTTAATTCTGCTGAAATTATTGGGGTTTCGAAGTAACAAGTTTTACGAGTTGTTTAAATGTGGTGGCTAACTTACCTGGAATTTCAAGATCACCGATTTGAATGTGATCATTAGTTTTCGAGACAAAGCACAAAGTCCATTTTGAACCCGTTATGACGTTCCTCGGTGTTCTTAAAATGGAAGATAACATCTACAGCATATTCACCGTAAATTTTATCAAGGCGGATAGTTAAGTAACCTACATATGCGTTTCGTTCGTCAGACGTAGCAAATAGAATGAGTTAGTTCACCGAACTTCGGCACAACAGTTTCTTTGGGGAGCTCATCTTGCGTCTAGCATCGTGCAGTGCTGAGGAAGATATTCATCAGTGTGAAGGATCACTGCTCTCTGATGTGCACAGCCAGTCAGGAGATAATGCCTGACTTTCAGATATTTGTGAGTGAATTGTCAAATACCGGTAAGGGAATTTTCCCGCTGGAAGCCATGACGTCATTCAGCTGGATCATTTCATAAGACGCAAGGGGCATTACACGCAGGCAAAGGCGAATTGTCCGCCTTGTGTCACTGCTTGTGCAATTTGCCGCGTTACAGTGTGAGCTACTACAGAAGGTCGTGTTCTAATATCCATAAAAAGGGCATGTAACAACACCGGAGGTATCCTCGAATCCTTTTCGGCTAATTAGTCTCCGACTCCATGTGGTTGTACGCCACTGAATAAGATGGACCAAGTTCTAAGCTTTTGCGTACTGCCCTGGGTATCTTGTATTCATGGCTAGTCAAACTCAGCGCATCTTTTCACTGCTTGCAACCGCTTTAGCGGATGAACGCCATGACTTCATACATTTGCGTTCCTGCTATTTTCTCCCCTATATTAGTGTACCAAACACTGTTCTTTTCGGTCTGCAGCTATGAAGGAGACTGAAAATTAACTGTCTTCTTGTGCCGATTTTTACCTGTTCCTGCTCTTTATTTGTTCTCGGCTATGTCCACCGGCATCCGCGTTCTCAGTTGTAGTAGGTTTCGCTTCTGGCCTTGAGAATGACGTCCCAAAAGCCTTTTTGGGTCTGGATGACGCTCTTGCATTACTTCATAGCATTCTTGCATCCACCAAAGAACTATTCTTGATGTGTGGTTGCGTCAGCCCTTTGTTTTCTCCTTAGGCCATAGAGTTAGCTCGGATGCATTTTCTCGGGTATCTTCAGGAAAAATTTTTGGATGGCCATTTCCCTAAAAGTGTTTACGCAAGCGTTTCCCTTACTTTACCTGCGATTCCAGTGTGTTTCATTTTATCTTAACGCACTTGAACAGTTCTAGACTCTACGTTAATCGTAGCGTCTGAAATTGGTTCCGTATGTGCTCTCTTTCTATAAACTCCTACTCGATAGTCTGACGGCACCGCCCAAAAATACAAGCTTTCATCGTGGACGTGCTATCCTCGAAAACACTTTATTGGGTTAACATCTCCATCTTTCATCGTGAACGTGCTATCCTCGAAAACACTTTATTGGGTTGTCAGCGGTAGCCTACCGTGGTAAAACTATGGGCTACATAATGAATCTTACATTCGGGATTTAGGACAAGTACAACAGTATGCTCTGGTTTGTCTCTGTGTTGCTGTCAAATGACAGGACTACTTTGCACTTATCCCCGTGCGCAAGAATCGGGGTAAACACGAATTCTACCGGAATAAAACTTCACATTCTATTTTAAGCACAAAACAAGAGAGCGTGAATTTATCCAAGACTAGTACTGGACAGAAATCGTCACCACCAAACATACTGAAGTTGATACGACTGATCAGTTACTAAGACCATGGGAACACCACGGCAAAATGCCTAAAAATAGACAAGAACACGGCAAAGATACATGCGGGGGAAAGAAGTGGATTAGAATCCAGAAGACCAACCGGGCCTACTGGAATACGCATCCACATAAAAAGTTACAAAACGAAATCGAGCAAAGAACGCTGAGCTATAGAAGAACTTCTAAACAAACCATCGGAATCGAGGACCTATCTCATTACAAGATGAGCAACTATGTCCATCAGAAATGCGCGACCAACCTAGCAACCTCGAGAAAAAATGCCCAAAAGCAGCAAACACAAGAAACGGGCTATTCGAATCCACGAAAGCAAACTGACATTGTAACGCCGGATACTAGTGATGAGACACACGAGTAGTATGTTTTCCCATAAACCCGATTCGCGTCTACCATAAAGTTGCGTTTATAACAGAATTTGTGGAATTGGTTTGTAGCGTTCGTTTGTGTTTGAGTGACGGTCAATGAGTATTCAGGAAAGTTCAGGAAGACACGTTCGAGAAGACGGATATTCACATTTTACAAGCAAGGTGCGAATGGGAGTTACGTCTCCGTGTCCAATGGTCCTTAACTGTTCTGTTGGTGTTTTCAAGTATACAACTTCGTAACGGAGGCCTTCATCCTTTCATTTGGTTAGGTGACCAGGATAAGGATGGAGATCCTGTGGGTACAACTCTTTAAGGATTTGCATGTTCGGACCTTCCTGAAGGACTTCAAGGAGATTGCAGAGGCTACTGGACTGGAGACCAGCTGGGGTAGCTTGGCGGCGCTGAAGCGCCTTCTCAGAGGATAGAGAAGGCGGCCCTGAATGTAACCAGAATAGGCCCTCGGAGGGTAGACTAAGCCACCACAAATGAAGTCCTTGCAGCGCAGTTCGACACACCAGCCGACCACCAAAAATCCGTGAAGCAGCCGGGAATGAACCGGGAAGTGGTCCGACGGTTTGTTCGCCAGCCTGCAGCGGCCACTGGATCGGGCCTTTCCGGGACTGGACGGAGTGTCGCGCCAGTAATTACTGTCTGACCAGTTCGTTTAGGGTGCGCAGCCCGCGCATGGTGCCCTGTTGCGGTATGCGGGGGCAACTGGCCTGTTGAGTGTGGAGCACCTGGTGCATCTGGCACGGAAACTGGGCGGAATTTCAAATGGACCAGGGAAGCACATGAGGCTTTCGAACGTGTTGAGGCGCGGATGCTGGGTAGGCAACTACAACTCTCAAACTACCCAGGGTCGGAGATATGCTCACTGTTGCAACGGACGCTAGTGATTGCGGTATCGGCGCAGTTATAAAGCAGAGGAATGGAGTTATCGAATATGCCGGTCGTGTTCTGACTGATGCTGAACATAAGTAACTAACCACTGAGAAAGAATGTTTAGCTATCGTTCGGTCCCTGGATAAGTGGAGGTCATATCTACTTGGACAAAGATTTCATGTCAAAACTAATCACAAGCCTCTCGAGTAGAACAGGACCATCAGAGATCCTCGCGAAGAGCCCGCGCGCTGGGCACTCCGGTTGCAAGAGTACGACTTCACAATCAAGCACATGCCAGGGAAGGAGAACCACTTGGCTGACTGGCTGTCAAGACAGAGGCCTGAGGCCCCCAGGGTCATGACTGGGGCCAATAGCCCCGCCGTCGAGCCAGGTTCCGGAAGGTTAGTGCAACTCAAATGGCAGGATCCTGTGTTCGGAAGGGTGCAGCCACCTTGTTGGATGGAAGGAGGATTGGAAACGGAGAGGGAGACAATGAATCGGAAACGTTTCAGAGTCACTTTGATCTCTTGAGTCTGAATGAAGCTGGCCTAATTTCCTAGGCGCCACCGATTCGAATGTTATGCTGCCAGTGATACCGCGCGTTTTGAGACGGTAGCTATTGTCGAATGCCACGAGATAGCGCATACACGGTGCTCCAAGACGTATAACTTACTTCAGCAGAGGGCTTACTTGCCCGGGATGAGAAGTGAGGTGATAGATTATTTGGTGTTCTGTAAGCGGCGCCAACTGACAGGTGCAACCCATCCCACGAAACCCATTCCCGTATCAGAAATTGGCGAGTTCTGGTCCGTTAACGTCATGCGCCTCTTTACGGTGACGACCAGCGGAAATCAATATATCGTAACAAGTACAAAACGCCTGTTATGGTGGATCGAAGCGGCAGCCGTGGCAAATCAACGGGCGATGGCCATCAGCGGAGTGGTAATACATCACGTTCTGGCCGACCATGTGATGCGAAAAATGATCCTGACCGATCAGCGGCCCTGCTTTGACAGCGAAGAGTTTAGGAATTGCTTAAAAAGCCGGGCATCAGACGTTTAAGGACGGCAACATAGCACCCATGCAGCCAACCATGGGATGCCAAAAATGATTCCAACTGATTAGGGGCCTAGCTTCGAGAGCGAAGAGTTCAGGACTTGCTTGCAGATGCTGGATACCAGACGCCTAAGGACGGCACCACAACACCCGCAAACAAATGGTCTAATCAACCGTAATAACCGAACGATCAAGGAGTGACTGACGGCGAAAACGGTTGACTGGAATTGAACCTGCTAATGTTGTTGCTAGCCCCTCGTGCTTCCATTCAGCCAAGAACAGGCAAGTCCCTGTTTATGTATGTGTAAGGTCGACATCCGCGCCTTTCGGTTGGTCAGAAAATCGGGCTGTTACCGGCATCATGCTTGTCTCCGGAGGAGCTAGAGGAAGAAAGTAGGAAAGCCCGAGAAAACTTGGCCGCCGTTTAGGAAAGGATTTGAAAGAAAAGGGCAAGCAGAAGGGCACGACTATTCCCCATATGCACGAAGGTCAAGTGGAAGGGTCATCAGAATCCTGGAAGGAGTTGGCTGGGGTCTCGAAGGTTGGGCAGTCAATGGCAAGGTCCGTTTGGCGCTATCGACCGCCCGGGGAACGTCTATACAATCCGAGGCGGTCGGGGATCGAAAAGACATAATAGGACTCAGCTCCTGAGGTGGCATGTTGCACCCAAAGTGCGGCCGAATAAACCAGCTGCTGAAGCCGACCTAACGGAGGTAACTGAAAATAGGTGGCATGCGAACGACCTTTGAAAGAGGGAAGGTATGTGACGGTGGGCACTACTGATGATGAATCCAACAAGTATGTGTTTCTCTCGTGAATCTTCTTTGCTTTGAAAAGTGAGAATTATTACGGAATTTGTGGAATTGCTGTGTAGCATTCGTTTACATTTGAGTGACGGACAATGAGTATCCAGGAAAGTTCAGGAAGACGCGTTCGAGAAGACGGATATTCATATTTTACAAACAAGGTTCAAATGAGGGTGATGCTTTAATGCCCAATCGTCTGTGACTGTTTAGTTGGTGTTTTCCATTAAATAACTTCATAGCAAAGGCCTCCTTTCTCTCATTAGTAATAAAAACCACCGTAAGCCCTGACCGTATGGGGTAAAGATAAACAACAAGGCAAAAGCAAGCAAGAACCGACCAATAGGAGCAGAAATGGAAGTCCTCGGATTGAAGCTGCTCAAAGCATCACTCGAATGTATGAAATACAGGCCACAGCACAAACCGAGGCAAACTAATGGGATGCCGAAATGATGTACAGACCATGAAATTAAAGTATCAGCTGATTACGCCCCTTTGCTGTGTGATCAAACGTTTCCCAGCTGACTGAAAAACCCAGCACATATATAAACGACCATTTGATTAAATGCTAGTTGCTTCAGTGCTTGGCTAATGCGTCAAGCCCGGAAAGTTAGGTAGGACGTAATTTGTTTTGTCCTATAAGGTCCTTCTATTTAACGAGGCGTTATAAGCACGCATTACCCTTCGAGGTTGTCGAAATTGCCATCCCATCCGTGCTTCTACGGTGGCCAAGTTGTTTTCATCCTGCTCCTCCGTCGTTTCAATCAACACTCACAGTATTTGCTGATCAATGAGTTTCTAGCTGCTATTTTAATTTAAGGTCCTGCTGAGTCCCTTCAAGTCATCAGTCCGTATGTACCCGTGCAAGATTTGCTTTGAAGTGCCTAAACATGGCTGCCAAGTGTACCTGGAAAGTCAGATTATAACACCTAACTCCATGTTTAGTTGAGTTGGTTTAACAAAATATTAACATGAACGCCTTAGTGGTGCTGTACTTAGCTTTCCTTGGTTATGGTATATTTCTTGAGGCCTCGTCTGACTTTCCGACCAAAATGTTACACCACATTTGACCGTTTATCGTGCAGTTGATACCTTCTCAACCATTCACATTGCACTGGAGGTACGTCGTGTTTCGCCATTGTATTGTCATCTCTGCCAATCAGGCTTGTCCGAACAGTAGCTTCGTTCAGCTGCGAGTGTAGCTCAAGGCTGCAGCTGGAAACCGTCCCTTCGACTGTTGCTAGGACCCGATGCCTACTTTGGAGCGTGTCACCGCAAGGTCTGTTGGTTGATTAAATAGCAGTACAGCATCTGTGACTACTACTCCGACGGAGCACTTTCTTGACCTTAGTTTATCTAGACCATCCCGGTCCGTATATCTAGGACTCGTGAGTAGAGTTTTATTTTTTGCCACTAGTAAACCAACTTTCGTTTACATTAGATAGACGTTTCTCCTTTTTAGGGCTTCAAACTTCCACCAAATCTAGGCAAGGTGATTGTGTTTTTATGCCGGCTCTAAAAACTGTCTACTCTACTTGAATGACCAGAATTTAGCAGGTAATGCATCTTGAAACCTGGATTAATCCAACTTTTGGCCGTGCATTTGACACGCAGAGGCGACCAGTCCCGAACAGTGGGCCTCCAAACGGTCTATATTGACCGTTTCTAACAGAATATTTGAGGTGCTCGAGCCGTTCAACAAAACCTTTTTCGGGTTTTATCTTGTGTTCTCTATTCAGGTCTGGAGCAAGCATCAAGAGAATGCACCATATTCATTGAAAAAATTAAACTACTTCGCAGGGCTATGCATCCTCATTGTTAAATCATCGAAATCGCCAGAATACAGTGTTTTACAGCACTTCAATGGCCTCTTGAGGATTTAAGAGTGTTGTAGCTGCTGGTATGATACATATCTAGAGAGGGACGAAAGTTTACGCATGCTTTTGCCATGAGCAGGGCCTTATCAAGATAGTCGGGAAGTCGCTAGAAGTGACTTCCTGGTGCTTCGGTCCGGTCATTCGATAGTTCATAAGTTTGTAGTGCATGGGTGCAAGTTAGGAACGAGTAAAAATGCCACTGTCACTCAGCACCTAGTCTAATCTGCACTCACTACGCTTTCACAATTTTGGATGCCCTTCTCCCGTTATTGCTAGGTTTCAACTGATAAAGGGTGGAAGGAGAGTTTTATGGCCACATTTTGGCGTTCATGTGGCCTGATTGCCAAAAAAAGCCTAAGGACAGTGATCTAGTTTGAACATAGCATTGTGGTCCCATAAACATGCAAGTGCCCGAATAACAAAAGTCATTTCCATCCTCCAGAGAGCTAAGTATCATGTGTCAGCAAAGAGGAGGACGCGTTCTCATGGTCAACGTTGGTTTGCTGACCGCCCATTCCAAAATCGATTAGGTAGACTTTGGGCGCTCTTGTTTATGACCAATCATCAGCCCTTATCATGGAGTGCGACATGAATATAAACAGGCCTTCTATGTGACGTGCAAAATCTTAGGACTGAAGTTAACAAAGACTAGAATTTAGCTATTAGTGCGAGGGTATGGGTGAGATGGTGAATGTTGGTTGTAAAAATTTCAGGTGTAGGCAATGTTTATTAGTACGGCGCGTCACCCATTTACTGGGTTTTACAGGGCCGTGTATTTCACGCTAGACACTGATAAGGTTGAGGCACAACGAACCGAAACCTGTCCCCTAAACTGGTGTTGACTTACAAGTTTCTTGAAAATAATCTTGCTGATTTTGCGGTGAACCTGGGTATAGAAGATGAGTACAATGTGACATAGAATTGAGACCGTCGACTCCGTGGTTGTCAGAATCCTACCTTGCCGGCTAACAACTCAGTAGCAAAGAGCGGCTCTGCACGTTATCACAAAAATTCTGGACAGAAATTCCACATAGCTGTCCAATTCACCCTGTTTGAACCCCGCTGTGCCCGTGAAAGAGGAAGCAGTGACTCACAATTGTGTGTGAACTAAAATCACTTGAAAGGAGCGACAAACATGCTGAAACCTACTGTCACACGTGAACATTAGCCTGGACATGCTGGTCACGTTGATTGTCTTCATCCGTTGAAAAATCGAGATAGAGAGAGAAAAAAGGCGGGAAACGACATTTACAATCTTCCATGCTCTGAGAATTTTAAATCATGTTGTTTTCCCGCGATCACTCATACAAGGAGTTCAAACTACCGGTGCAAAGCGGTTGCTTTGATTCAATTCCCGGATCTTGCCTGATGTATTTAGGTAATATGTTAAGAGGAAAATTTAACACCAAAAAACGAAATTTAGCGAGGCTTTAGAAAGACCGGAATTTGTTAAGATTATTCTTAAACCATTGGATGTCAGCTCCGCAGGTACGAGACTACTTCTTTAGGACATATTGCATCAGCCATGAGCGTGAAAACAGACAAAAAAATCGAAACGAGTTGGGGACATGCTGAGACTTCAAGCAGCGAAGAATGTACATCGTTCCCGTAGTTTGGTGCCTTACTGCTGCAGGTATATCATTGATTTACAGGATAACCACTGAATTAAATGAACTGATGGGACAAGGCAAAACAATTTTACAGATAGGGAAGAGGCAGAATGAATGCATAGTTACGTAACGAGCCTCGAAACTCAGAGCTATTTACTGACTCACGCAATTTGGAGGCTGATGTATCTATCTCACAACAAGGCCCGCAGCCTTCCTGGGTCGTTAGTGCTTATAGCGAAAGGGAATGTGAGTTTTGTCTTTAGTAATTCCATTGAACACTCCCGACATAATCCATCCACGTTTTCGCACGGCAAGCCACTGGTTCCAAAATTTCTTAGGCATGGAAGGACGGGTAGGAATTCCTCAAAGGATTCTTGTTCAAGTGAACATGTAGCGGACTAGGACCTTATCAGCGTGTTCGGATAAATTAAGAAGCAAAGTTACCAATACAAAATCACATGATCACAACAGGAAAGGAATGAGTAGTCAAATGGGGACTCACGAATGTGTAGATCCGATAGTCCACTACACCGATCCAAATGAAGTAACTGGCTGTGAGAGGAAATATTCCCTTGTCGGAATTTCTCACAGATGGTTCCGCGTGCGTGATATATTCCACGGTAGGAAAATTATTCACGGCTAAAAAATGCCACAGGGATTTATTGTGACGTTCAACGGTTGACACAAGCACAGAGATGTAGTCCCACTGGCTCAGCAGTCAACAAACAGTTCAACGGAGCGTAAATACACTCGTTCAGCAAGAAGTCAGCAGTCGCACCGGAAAATTGTGTATTCGTAACATTGAAACAAACGTCATGGTACAATGTGAACGACAGTTACAAAATGTGGTTCAAGATCAGGAAGAATGGTAAATGTGACAACGGATTACAGACACTACAAACACCAGAGATCTGTATGGCGCCCCCCAGTGGGAATAGCACATCTTTCCTGCCAGTCATATTCATTCCACTGGTACAAAAAACCTTACCTCAATCTGTGAATACCGAATTTGGAAGCAATAGTCCAAAGAACCAATTATCTTTTCTGACAGTTACGGTAAACCTATTGTCCCAATGCGCTTTGAAGCTATTTCGCAGGTTCCCACATCAAAATTGGGTAATGTAACCCCATAATGAGACGGACGAAACATGTACTTAGCTACACTAGAAACACTTAGGTGGTTTTCCGTTGCTATCAGCTCCTTTGCACGCTATGATGGCAAACTGCAAAATGGTAGAGTCACTGTGCAGCAAATGAACTGTGGATTCAGAAACCTGTCATTTAACAGGTCTGTGCCATTTAACGTTTGGCCGATAGCACGTCAGTGTACAATCTTAACCAAGCAAAAGTTTCTAGGCTTTTCCCACCAATCTCACAACTATCAGCACGATCACAGCGTCGAAACGGCAATGGAGAGGAGGATAAAACCAAGTAAAGATTCTCCCAGTGTAGTAAGTCCTTAGCTCGAGTGCGATCGAAACGGCTGCATGTATGTCAACGCCAGGAGGTAAAAAGCTGAACGAATTTTAATAAAGTGATACAGATTATAGATGGATGCGGAAGGAAATAAGTGAACAAAACTCGAGCGAGACTTCAGTCGTAAACCGGAGAGCATGTGGCATCGGTAAAGTATAGTTAAGTAGTCAAATGACAAAAGTGAAAATGAATGGATATAACCAATCCCATTGCTTGGGCTTGCGAAGTTTGAGTGCGAGCTTTGCACTGACATCAAGGAAGGATACACAGAGCAATGGAGTGGCGCGGTTCTTGACGTTCTACTGACAATCACGCTTATCGAGAACGCTCACGTCAAGCATATCGGAATTACCCAGTTTATAAGGCGGACTATTATATGTAAAATAATAGTTCCTCAAAGGTTGAAGTATTGAAATCAAACTTTCACACAGAAGTGTTCTGTTTGCCGGTAACATACAAAAGCCCCGAGATTCCCTTAAATTACCATAATTTTAGTGGAATTTGTTTGGATCGCTTGTCTTGCGAGGATTTCATTCGCCCCGAAATCAGCCAATGAATCCGCTATTGCTAGAAATGCTCTGTGAGAGGAGACTGAAATGAAAATTTCCCAAAATATTTGGGAAAACATTTTACGCTGATGTCGAAATATCATGTGGATTAACTACAAACTACTCACAACGTTTCAGTAGCTGAATGGGCGAATGACTTTCAACATTCGATGCTGGACGCGATGTAGGTTAACACATTTTCTGTTGACATACGGCAGAAGGCGAAATATCTGTGTCTGTTGTAACCGCTTAAAATGTGTGCACGCTTTTAACAACAGATAGACAAACTGTGAGGTGATTAGTCAGTTCAAGCGCATTGGATGCTTGAACATCCGGAAGTATCTTTTCGATAACGGTAATTTTTCGACTGCATAGGCTCAAAAGCAGCAAAGCAAGTGCATGGCGGAGACGTATTCCTGCCTTATGACAGACCGACAAATATGGAAAAATTATTAGTTGTCGCGTACTGTCTCACGTTTTTGTCTAGCTTCGACGGCAATAATACACACCGCAACTGTGTTCTAAAAAGTTCCGTTTACAATTCTTGTATAAAACAAATCATCTCATCCATAAAATCTGTGATGTAACCGGTTTATGTAGGAATTGCTGGAGATATTAGCTAGTTTTTTCGGAGGGCTAACTAAGACGCCGATTGTTGACATAACATTGTCATTGTGGTGGTTTCTCTAAGAGGGTAATTTAGCCACACATGGTTGCTGGGTGCTCTGGGACTGCGCCCCACTGATGAGTCCCAATTAGAGTGAGACCGGTCAAGTTTTCAGCAACCTCACGAGTAGTATGTATCCTCACTAACATTTAGGGAAAATTCAACTGGATGTGGTGTTTCCATCTTGCTCCTCCCACTTAATTCGCACAATTTCACGGCAGAATCTTAGCCTTTCGTTGTCATTCGTTCCTGATCCCTCAGTAGGTGGGCACACAAAATGCCGGACAAATGGCAGCATTACAAGACGGCTTACAGTGTTCGCTTTGTTGTGTGGCTCCCGCTTCCTCACTCATTGAGCATAGTAATATTTTGCAATAACCAGCGGTGTCTCCGTCAAACAGACTCCATCTGCTGTAACTATGCCATTTTGCTCGACAAATCCCGGTATTCCTATCTGATCTTGCGATTAGTCAGCCGGTCACTCCGCTCCCTTGATGGCGTATCCGGGTGCAGATGTGTATGACGTCAAGCTGTCCTACATGGGACGGTCGCACTGAGCTCGTGCGGATAAGTCGCAATGCAAACAATTCAATGTAAGCACTATGATAGTATGCAGGGAATCGATCACTTCGAATAACCGGCCAGGTGAATTTTTTTAAAGCTGTTTTTTGCGAAATAGGCGAAAACAACTGTCAAACTGACATTGCCAAATTGACTGCGTCTTGTGTGTTTGTCTCCTATACAGTCTGGTGACAACTCCAAACTGTCACATGTCGTGTCTGCGTCACTGGCCTGGTTCGAGCTACATGTGCTAACAGGTATAGAGTCACCAATGATTCCTCCGGTTCGATTAATCACCAAAACGAAGAAAGCAGACACAAACCACACCTCAGTCATTTAGGTCAGTATAATTTATCATTATTTGAACGACGGCCAAGGCGCACATTCTGGCAGACATTGTCTGTCGATGACGGCAACAGTTCGGCCTGCTGTCACTGAGATGTGTAATTTCTATCAATAAATCAGCCTGTTCGGTGACGGGAAGCTGGCTCATCTAGGGCAGTTTGTTTCCCCGAGAGGGAATACAATGGAAAAAAAATTCTGACTACTGAAATATCTCCTCAGTGGGTCCACTATAACCAGCTTTATTACAGTAGATGGCAGCGTTGCGAACGCAAGAACTACTTTGTTAGTGGAGCCGATTTACTGAATAACTATGCTTTTCGAGAACATAATTATGATATACTCGTCCTGAGTGGTATGATACGTATTCACGAAACGGCCTCAGTATGTAAAATGCCACTGGAAGCATACCAAGCGTGGTGGACAGAACTTTGGTTTTTGGCCGTTTGTAGCCAAGGCAAAAGGATCGCCTTCGTGTCAAAAATGTGCCAGATGACACACAGGGTCGTCGATAACATTGGACACCAAAAATTTGCATTGCACACAAAACCCCCCTCAAGATGTGAAAAGAGGATATATTATGCGACATCCATCGAATCTTCGTTCAGAATGTTCTTCCCAAAATCACGCGGGTCACCAGACAGTCCCAGACCGTATCGTGTGATTCAAACGCAAGTGGTACGTATGCCATACTTCCAAACCGTACGACAGTCAGCAAAAAATACAGGCTATTCCGCTATGATTATTAGTGCTTGAAGGAGTTACGCATTGTGTTTCTTGGAGGCTGGTTGAGCTGTCGCTAAGAGAGGGCCGGATTAAACCCAAAATCTAAGCGAAACTGAAGTGAGTAGCCCTTGCTTTTATTTGACACCAACTTCGAACATTGTATCGATCAGTCCAATCCAAAATGAGCACGAAGAAAACGAGTGTATCAAGTCTAAGTTGACTCGGAACTTCGGCCAAGAAACAGAAGGCCAAAAGTGGATCGGACACCGTTCTGCTTACACTCTGACTTGCTGGTTGGAAGCGGCTTCAAGTAATTGGATTTCACGTTCATACAGTAAACTCATCTCTACCAAAGTGATGGTTATTTTGGCGGACTCGTCGATAACGGTCAACGCAGTCACACGGAACAGCTAAATGCAGTTTTAGTTACGAAAAATGAAAAACGCATCTATGTGACATCTCTTCAGCTAGTAGTATTGTCAAGCTTAGTTTTGTAAGTCGCAAAATCTGGCTGTACTATAATCTTGTCCGTCCAAACAATCGACACGCAACACAACTTCCTCCCGCTATGCCGTCACTGATGAGAACAACAGTCTCGTCTTTCATCACTCACAGACCCAACAAAAAATTTTTTCCAAGAAACCGGTGAAGGAAAACTTCGTAAGTTTATGATAAAACGAGACATCCATGTCCCGAAAATCATAAAAATGCAGCTACTTCCTTGCTGAAGCTCATTTCCGAATGAGATTCGAGAAGAACACTGCTGAAGCTGAGTTGGCCGAGCAGTATACCCTGAGAAGGCCTCATTAAGTGGAACCGGAGGGACTCGACCCTTGAGAATGTGTTCATCATCTCTACTTCCATTGACTGATTGGTTCGGAATGGCAGCTTGAGATTTCCACTACACGGAGGGATAGAATTTGAAGGCAGAGACAAAGAAGATTATCTCATCACCGTCATCCCAACCACTAGACCCTTTCAGCCTCCTGAGAAAAGAGCTCTCGGTCAATCATAACATACTGAGAGACAGAAATATAGACAGTTCCGTTTTGGACGTGAAGCTTTACCAAAAGCGTTATTGATAGGTTCTAAATGCAGGTCGTTTTACGAGTAATAAATAAAACGAAGTGGATGTAATTAACGAATGTGGGGACTACTCCATCTGAACTTTTTCGCACGTTTTATGTACCTTGGTCCACTGAGGTTGGCAGGTATAGCAAACGACTTTTGAAGAAGTTTTCGAGTTTTTTTGTGTTGGTAAGTTGTCGAGAAAAATAAGTACTTTTCCCACCTATCCAACTATTCACTCACTCACTCACGAAACAAAATGTTGGCGATCCGCACATTTTCAAAGTGACGATACTTCTCTGGCTCTTGACAGGGATCAGTACAGAAAAACTACGTGGGCTGGCACATTTTCAGCCCTGGTGTCCCTACTTTACTCGACCTCATTCCACGACACCTTTCTTCCGGGCGCGAGGTTTGTCCGAAAGTCCCCAAACGATTATTCATCTATTTGTCCTTTATTTTACCGCATACTTTTATGGATATCCAGCATCATCCGTTGGGAAAGCATCATAGAAGAATTGTACCTCGAGGGTCTATGGATGGAATTGATGTGCCAGGGATGTCGCGATCCAGCACAAAGTACGGTGTGGTATCTTGTGGGCAGTGTCCATTTCTGCTTAGAAGGTGAGGTGGAAATGATGCCGATCAGTCGAAAAAACTTTATGTACCTGTCTGCAATGCACAAACGAACTCCAGTCGTTGACTGATTTTCGCAGCTATGAACGTCAGCTCATCCATGAATCAATACAAGCCCTCAGGTCATCCGATTGTACTTGATCATCTCTGTATGAACGAAATCTTAAAGACTAAGTGCTGTGAACACGAAACAACATGTAGCGACTTCAAGGAGGTTTACGTAGAGCAAACAGTCAAGGGGCTACGTACCATAACTGGTGAACACAATCAGACCAACCAACAAAGCACCGAGTATGGATACAACACCGACTCCGTCTGTTAGCCGGACACGACCTCACAGAGTGATTCAGCACTGCTTGTACAAGATTTCCGAAATCTTTTCGACGGAAACTCGATACAAGCAGTGCTGATCAAAGGGACAATACGCTATCTTGAAAGTCATTCTAGCTGAAACAACTAGTGCCTTGTGTACAGTAACTTTAGTTAGAGAAAAATGCAACGACTCGACTGAAACTCAGTTGATTTTCCCGTCAGCTGACTGCAAGACCTTTCGGACTGTCTATCTGGCGGGTATGATCTCATAGTTCCCCCAGACCTTATCTTGTAAGTGAGTGGAGTTGGACATCCACTCAAATCAAGTTGGTGTTGGCGAGTGAAATCCAGTTGAATCGGTTGAGTTTTATTTGTCTTCCTGATTGAGTTCTCACTTTATTAAATCGGCCCAAAATCTTCTTGGCTTGTGGATGCATTGCCTGCAGAATTGAAACGGTTGAAACACTGTGAACTAGGATTCTTGGTGTAGGACCTCTACCAAGTTATTCTTCGTGAAAAAGTGACATTCGTTCGTAGGTTGGTTGAGAAGACCTAATATAAGAGTGTAGTAAATTTTCCAGGAGGCCGGCTCAACCACCATAGACGAAGGAACGTACAGGATAAACTACCGTGGATGCTCCGTTTGCAGAAAAATCTGACGCCCCCCCCCCATATGAGGACCGTTCCCGAGGTTATGTGTGTAGCTGAAATCCCTGTG